GAGAGGACTCGTGCTCCCACCTACGATTTACGAACTTTTACCGTTCAAACATTATAATCGAAATCGTTCATTTTTTTTATCATTATCTTGATCAGATGTGCAAAAAATTATTTAATTTGGAGATCTTTTAGTCATTCATAAACATAAAACAGATGAACATTTAATCATAAGATTGCTACTTGTAATCAAAATTATTGGTTGGTTTAAATAATTTAGTTGTTCATGTTCTGCAAGCAATAACAATTAAAGCTCATTATTTTACACAGAAAATTGATATCAATTAATTAATTAATAATTATACCTTCCTTCTGTATCATAGACACCAGAGTCACTGCCATGTTTGGCTTTATGGATGTTTTTAACTTCAATTGGGAAAAGTAGAGAAGGAAACTTTCCCTGCACCAAACACAGAAGCAGAAGCCACGTCACTTCTACTCAACGTAATAGCAGCAAACGTGTCGAAATAGACAGAATTTATTCCCCCTATTACGCATGTTCTTTCTTCTTTGTTTGGTTAATGCGTTACAATATTCTTACAACAACGCACATTCAACCAAATATTCAATAATAAAAGTGTAAAACAAAGATTTTTAAAAAGTTGCGACGTACAATAATTTTACAATTTTGTAAACAAACAAGAATTTTTTCTAATATGAACTATTCTAATTTATAGGAAAAAGTATAGAATTCGTTTGAAAGCATTTTCAAATGAATCTTTAAAGTAATAATATATTGTTCTAACAAACTAGATTACAACAGTTTAGTCCGGATTTTCTGGTAAAGGTAAAGCTAAGTTGCTTTAGTGCGATTGGATTTTGCCTCTATCTATAAACATGTGGACGTTAGTGTTTGACACATGTCCTAAGGAGTTGGTCATATAATATTGGCAAAGAAAAAGTTGGTGGCTCAGAAAACAAATATTCTAATCTGGGAATGAAATTTTACTCTTTGCCGCCGGCAACATAGTCTAAAGATTTGTACTTGTAAAATTTTCCTTATAAAAAGTTTTTTTACGAAGTGAGTCAATCTCGGGAGTTCCGATGCTTGAGAGTTTTTTTTTTAATTTTTTTAATTTTTTTAATTTTTTAATTTTTTAAATACAAGAGAAGAGTGAATCGAACTCATAACTTCCGATCCATAAGCGAATGATAACCCTAGTGAGCGGAGTATGAGAGTGAGAGAGATACCTGGCGAGTCTTTTGACTGAGGGCCGCGTTGATGAGAAAGGCACTGGCTGTGGACAACAAAATGCCACACCCGATCGCACGAAAACCTGTAATCACAGAGATTATCACTATTAATTAACCGGTTTTAAAGAAGGAGAAAGGCAACAAATAATTAATAAAAACCTTGAAAAGTTTCCCAAGGATAAACAATGCCATCGTGGTTCCTGTCAAAGAAGGCTACATGTCTCTGCAGAACGTCCTGTTCGTTGGGTGCGAATTTCCCACCGTTATTCTCTGCATGCATCACAATTTATGCCGATATTAATTAACATATAATTCACTTCAAAACATATATAAACCCCTTATTTAACTCTAAGCAAAACGGCCGGAAAGTTCATGAAAACCTGGAGAGAGAGAGAGAGAGAGAGAGAAAGAGAGAGGAACTGCATACCTTGCTGCTTATTGCTTTCTGACAGAGAAGAGGAACCCATATTTTTCAGAAGGATTGAAAGCTTGAGAGGGGAGAAGAAGGTAAATCTGATGAAGTGGAATGGCAATGAAGGAGAGTTAAGAAAAGAACCGATCGACAAATCCAACCTAATAACGAGCGGAGCAACTTTAGAGAGTTGTGGGGGTTTTCTTTCCTAAAATGTCTGGTTTTCAAACACACAAACTAATTTATTTATAAAGGGCTAAAAAGCCAAAAGAAGTAAAAAATTTAATTTAAATATCTGGAAAGGCATGGTGATAGATATTCTACAATTATTGGAAACTATTGTGTTGTGGAAGCTTAGCGGTGCAATAACGTCCTAAATGGCACGTCCCCACGCTGGCCCTCCACGTTGACGATCAATTAGCAAGTTTACTGCAAAATAAAATACAGATGAACGAATTGTTTCTTTTAATGTTGTTTAGTTTACAAAATTTTATGTATAAAATTTTTTTTTAATTTTTTTTTTTTTGTAAAATACTATAAAAAAATCAATTACCACACACGTCTCACTAAATTTGGTTTAGGAATATTTATTTACTATTCTTTTGATAGCAGAGTCATAGACATAGGGAAGCGGAGGGAAATATGTCCTTCTCTTAGACTCTCTGCTTTCTAAAAGCAGGAGGGCATCTTCCCAACGGTACTTCAACAATTTTTCAAACTTTTATTTTCTTTATCTCTTTTTTTTTTTTTTTTTTTTTTTAATATTTTGTTCTCTCATCAAGCTATCTATTTCGGAGAATCATGTAAGATTTTTCGCCATGATATCTTAATTATTGTTCTTATAGCATGCCTTTTTGAAACCCTTCATGTTATTTTCATTTTTCTTTTATTGACAAAGATATTCTAACTAATGAGATTTATAGGTATTGCTCTTCTTAATATTTTTAAGACATTCAAAATTCGAATTTATTTGTCTCTGAATTGAAAAAAAAAAAAAAGAAGAAGAAAGAAGTTTCGTTGTTAATTTTAGATCGAAATCCGATGGATGAGCATTGAACACACATCCAATTGTGTATACTCAACATGCATTATGATCTTATAATTACATGTTAGAGTGCGTTTTTAATTACGTAAAGCATATATAATAATTATTAGCTGCATATTTAACGTACGTACGCAACCCTACCTTAAAACGATGCTGCTGAAACCAAAGACATTAAACTAACACACGAATAATATACTTTGCTGTACAGAATTAAATAAATAATTAAACAAAACGGAATACAGCAAACAAGGAAAGGCAAAGAGCGTGATTGGTGAAGTGCTTTCTTGCTTTTGCTTTACAGAAACAATTAACAGATAAACGATGCTGCTGTTAGCTTTCACGTCACTTCCGAATTGTCTCAGCTCGTATCAGCTCTGAGCTCACCAGGTGTGAACGCTCCTCCTTCAATGTTAGCCACACGCACATGACACGCAGTCAGTCATGCGGAGAAGATGGCCATCGATTCGAGCCCACCACCTTTCACTGTGTTTTCTATTTCTTCTCTTTCTTCTTTCAGAAGGCAGAAGCTTCCGTTCCCTCCCAACAAGTTCAAAACAAACGTCCCAATGACTGAAGCTGCGCCCTTTGCATCTTTCATTGTGTTTTTTGTTTCTTCTCTTTCCTCTTGCAGAAATCAGAAGCTTCCCTCCCAACAAGTTCAAAACCACAAATATCCAAATGACTGAAGCTTCTCCATTTGCCTCAAAACCTACCTACTGTTTTTCACTCTTCTTGTCCTTTGCAATAGGATATCTTACACTAAATTTATTAATACCACAGTCGAACATTCCCATAAAAAAAACTATAGCCTAACCTTTTTTTTTTTTTTTGAACAAATAATAGTATATGTAGATTCTATACCAAGATAGTAGGGGAGTGAACTAAGCTTTACAATTTGCTAGTAATGATATGGTTCAAATTCGCCTTAGGTGAAAATCAAATCTAAAATCTCTCACATTCAAGTGAAGAGAAATATCACTATACCGTAGTACAGTGCTCTAACTAATTCAACTAAATCCATGTTTGTCTTCATTTCTATTTTATTCAATCTGCTAATTTGCTAATGATATATTATTATCGGGTGCAACTTTTTACCCTCTTTCTACGTCTTTTCCATCCACAATGTCTCCATAAATGGAGGAGTTGGTGATTCTCCTTTTTGGTTGCTTCTTGCTTGACAGCTAAGATAAAGTAATATATCGTTGGAAAGTCTTATTTACATATTTAATTTTATCTCGCAATGAAAAAAAAAAATTTACCTTGCAAGCATCCTTGTTAATTTTTTATTATTGATTTTTATTTATTTATTCGATTCGATGATTGAAAATTGAGAGGAGGGTATGAAAAATTAAAATATGTGTGAATAGCACTTCCCTATGCTGGTTTGGGACATGAAACTTTACTTTAATCTGTTTTCATGGTAAAGTAAACATAAAAAATGACAGTAAGCAAACACTACTAAAAGAATCCAGGAATATCGTGTGCGTAGACACAGATACTTGTTCCAGAAGGCCGTAAATAATGACATAAATGACCATAACAACCAGATAGTCGACATAGACAATGAATTTTAGTTGACAGCTGATTTTATGGAGAATCACATCTCAATAATGCACGTGAAATTGGAGGTATTCTTCCATATTTTCAAACAACTTTGTAGAAAAGCACATTCTCGTGACTGTAGAAGTGATTCTGGCCTTCTCATAATCATTCTCGAACAAACGGCGATAAGCTGAAGTAGACACGCACCACAGATTTCCTAAACGAGTTCATACACACAACACCCATTAATTAAGAAGTGGCAGTGTCACAAACCAATCATCTGATTATCCGTGGTTTAACTTACGTTACAACACGTAATTGAGTACGTCGGCTGCTTCCATAACGAGTCTCCAGTCAAACAAATTTGATCACTGTTTATCTCTTTATTTTTATTTCAAGATTTCCCTTAACTTATACGGTTAAGCAAAATAGAAACATATTTTTTAGGATATTTAAAGGAAGAGGGGACAAATGTTGGTATACCGAGCAGTTCTTTAAACCTCAAAAGATATATTTTGAAACCGTCTTTTTCCAGTATGTGATGCGTAGAACAGAAGAAAACGTTTGCTTTGCTGGAATTCTGAGCACACCTATACAATCTATATATATCCTTTAAAACCATACGTAACACTACATATACTAATATAATAGGGCAGCAATCGCAACGTTCAGGCGAACAAAGATTATGTTTAATTGTAAGTTAATCATTTTTCGACCTTTAAATCCTCCTGGGATTTGCGGGTTCTAGCCTACCCTTCGCTGCGATGACGACTTCTGTAAATATGCTGTACCAAATATTGATCGTCATCCATAACAAAGATCATTGTCTTGATTAGAATTCGAATTCAAACTACAGGGCTTCAGACATGAGATGGAAAACAAAAGGTATTGAAGAATCGGTACTTCGTAATCCATTGATTCATATAATTACATATCATTTACCCGCTTAAACAACTCGGTATTTGGAGCGGTTTCAAGTGTTTTCGCGATCGAAAGTCTACGAAACAGCCAGCCAAATATAACATCCTCATAAACCTAAGGAGCGGTCCGTCCAATTCTGCAAATAACAAATGTTGTCACATTCTAAAACCACAAGGTAAATATTCAGTATGCAATGGACTTATGTACAAGTCATCGGAACACAACACGATGATATCTCTCCTTATCAAGGACTTGTATTCAGCTACTATAAAATAAGGTGGTTCGTGCTCAAAGTACAAACAACGTGTGCGTAATGTCCCTATTATATCTGTAGGAAAACATCACATATATGTCTTTCCACCAAAGGCATATGTGATAGCAGAACAGAGATTACAGCTCATCGTTACGGATGGAGCGATCCTTATTTACATTAGACATGATTAGCACATTGACGCTCCTTAACAAGTATCATTCAAAGTATATACTATATAAAGTATCGTCTATTCATTCAAGTCTGACCTTAGATAATGCAACATTTCACCACAAGCCCTTTTGATCGACCCTTCCCTCTTCATTCCCTGAAAATACATATTCAAATATTAACTCTCCATTTCTCTAGATGATATGAACAGAAGGAAAACAGAAGCAATGCAGTCCCGTTAATAAAACTTAAATACATAAAAAGGTAAAGCATGTTCAGCAAGAAACAGCCGAAACTAACAGACCTTCGGGTGGCTGAGCTAGCTTTCGGTTCTGTGGTGACATCATCTCTTTCTTCAATTGTGTCAATATGTCCTCCATCGTATATTCCCTTTGCCAATTGGCAAGCATGGGGAAAAGACTGGGTTCAACCTGGTAATTTGGCCACCCATCAGCTTGTTTCAACTATAACAAAGGAACATACTTGAGGGTAAGAATCACCTACCACTCCAGAATCATGATTGACACAGGTCATGTTTATCCGTGTTTGGAACCTAACAGTTGGCGGATTATCTGGATAATCCTTTCCACAGAACAGTTTCAATTGGTAAATGCGCCCTTCGTGCACAGTCTAGCAAGAAGCAAGATCAGCAAGACATTAAGTTTCTTTATTCAAAGAATGATATTGTTTCAATGCAGCTTGCCATGATTTGTTTTTTTTCTATTTTAGAAGTGCATGTACGAGCAGCAATTTACCCAAAAAAGGAAACTAATGAGAATAAGGAACCTACATTTGGGGGCCCGATAATTGTCCCTGTCCATGACTGCATATAAACATCATCAGCATCATCCATTCCATAGCTAACAGTGCCATCCCCAATTCCCTTTTCACCCCTCTCAAGCTCTTCCAGTAATCTGAAATTCCTAGGAACTACACAAAAAAAAAAAAAAAAAAACCAAGACACATGATTACAACTCTTGCATCATGTGATCATAACAAATGTCATACTGTAACAAATAATCACAAAAGAACTGGAATAAGACAAGTGTTTACCAAAAAGGATTAACATATCTACTCGGTGTAACAAAGAAAACCAAAGGCAGCTTCAGTCACAAATCTCATCAAATTCATGACAAAATTAGAAGCTAGTTCAACAAATACCAATTCATACAAGAGCATAGGCTATCTAATACAAAAAAGGGGAATACTCCAGTTACTCTCCGTTTTTTAGTCCTTTATATTTTTCCAATGAAACTCCTGACAGAAATACTTTCATCGGGTTCTTAATAATAGCAGAGGTTCTATAAATTCTTTTCAGGAAAGAAATAGAACATTAGCTAAAAATAGTAGTTATAATTTCCAAGCAAAGGAGAGATGAGAAGTGTTTACAATAGTACGATAAAACACTACAATTTCAGTTCTAATTCTCACTTGCACTCTCTATGGAGAACCCATCTGAGAAATGGTTATAGAAAAGCGGAACCACCCTTGTGTTAGGAAAAACATGGCCACTGTCGCCTGTCCAAAAGTAATGGTATTTCAAAATGATCTTGGTCCTCAGAGTGCTCCTTTCCAGAAGAGATGTAAAAACTCATGCTAGCTTGAAAAGTTTGAGAAGTAAATTGTAATATCTGGATACCCAATCAGATACCCTTTTTAGAGTGCCTTACTTAATGTTAACGATAAAGATGAATAATCCTATCTCTCATATTAGACATTACATTGCGTCCCCTGTAAGAGAAGGATGCTAAAAATTTATGAGGCATTTGTTTTGGCGCTGGTGAATCTGACCTGAGGTAAGATTCAACTATGAGTATACGTTCGGCTGGAGGGTTGTGGAGGAACTGACATACTGGGTTCTTCTAAAGACGGCAGAATAATGGGCAGCCCTGTTTATGGGAGAGAATGCAGGTTCTTGCATTTTCATTGCAAGGAAGTACATTATTCAGGCAAACCATTTACGAAAGACAACACTTTAGAATAAAACAGAAATAAGGGAGAAAAAAGAAACGGGTGACCAAGGCACAGCATGACTTCTGAATCTATATCTAGTCACGCTACTAATTGTCTCAAGAATATCTGGTTCTGTTAATCTATATCTTATTTCTCGTAACAATGAATTCGGGAACAATTTAAATCACAATTTTCGGCCAAGAGGAAAGATTATCCAAAATCAATGGCATTCACATAACAAAGCGTTGGTACTCTAGTGATTAGTGAGGGGTTAAAGATGAACCTCAAAGGCTCAACCGTATACATTATCGTTACATTTCCACTACCGATACAAACTTCATCATTCCTTGTCAAATTAGATTCGAATGATTCGATCCTTGGAGGACACTTTAGGCTAACAAATCTAACATTGATTTCATACCAACATCGATTCACACGTGGTTCATAACCCAAAAAAACCAATCAAGCTTACAACTTACCCTATAATTCAGGACAAAGCAACCAAATTTATAACAAATTAAATTCAAATTAATCCACTTTACCAGGTTAACAAACAAACAAACAAGCAAAAATGCAATTAAGCTCAAACAAAACAAAACTTTGATTCAGGAACAAAATCAACATACAAAAATTAATCTGGATACGCTCGGACGAATGTAAAATGAGCTAGAACACTGAAAAATCTAGGGTTTTTGGAAAGCTCACCGACAACGCTTGATCCTTCGGATCCCATTTCTGGGGGTTGAATTTTGCAGAGTCCGGATTTAGGTGAGAGAGAGAGAGAGAGAGAGAGAGAGTAGCAGAGAGGTTTTGATGGTGGATCCAAGGCTGCAGGAAGTCCAACTACGGTTCGCCGAGGGCAAAGTCGCGCATGGAGGAGAAAAAAAGGATAAAAAGCAGGAAGAAGAATAGAGGAGGAGGAGGGACCTAGTCGAGTATTCATTGAACTGAGGGTGTATTGTTATTCTTCTGCACCTGCGCATTTCACACGTTCATCAATCATCACAGTGGGATTTCCATTATTCCGTACATACCGGGAGAGTAAGTAGAAATCGGACCGTAGATCTGGCGGTAGGGAATAGGGATCATTGGCGGACAGTGCATGCATATCGTATCCTACACTTTCTCTTTTTTAATTGGTTGGATAGTTTTAGTAAACGACAAGAACCTGGGATAACAAAAACCAAGCCCAAAGGACCAAAGACAGCAAGGCAACCTGTAACTAAGCAGTGAACAAAGTAAGAGGCCCAGATTCTTGCAAAAATGTAGGCGACCAACACAAGAAAAAGAAACGCGGAAGCGATTTTCACACTCTCATTTTATATATCGAAGTATTTTTTTCGGAATTTATAATCCGCAGTTGATTTATCTCTGAATTTTTATTTTAGTCAACCACCTTTTAACTTTTATTAACAGTTAAATTCTTGAGATTATTTCCAACGGTGAGTACAAATCTGCTCATCATCGGGCGTTGGCAAACCCATACCATGAACCACGGGTGTTAGTTGCAGTGTTTTTCAGTCCAAGCAATAGAGAGGACACATATGGCCCATTGCCGGAGCTGGTCTTGCCGGAGAAGCCGGCATTTACCCGTCAGTTTACTCTTTCAGAGTTCATGCAAAGGTTCTTCAACTTCAATGTCATCACCAAGCTTCTTGTTTTTTTTTTTTTCGGTTAAAGTGGGATCCAAAAAGAATCGCCAACGAGAAACTTTTATTAAAACACACATTTACAAAACAAAGAAAGACCCACTTTATTCCTATAGACAAACAAGGAGTAGGCCTAAAAACAAAGAAAACACAAAAAATGAGCCCAACAAGAAGCCCACATACAATAGAACGTCCAAGAACCATCCATTGTGCTCTCCCCCGTTGATCCAAGAATCAGCCAGCCAACCGATTCTCCATCCACCGCCGATCATCACCTCCACAGACGCCACTTGCGCATAACCATCAACAAGAGATAGTCAGCTAGAGAGAAGCCAACCATCAGAAAGAAGCTCCGGGAAATACCCGAGGAACACCGCTGGAAACGGCAGACAACAAGGAGAACGTGGTGGTGTAGGAAACACTCGAGCCAGATAAAACACCAAAACTCTACACACAAACTCAACATAAAACATGGCTGACAAGCGATGCAAGGAAGGACCGTGAAAAAGGATACCCACAGGGGTTGAGGAATTGGAAAGGCCATAGAGGAAAATTGGAAGAACCAACAGCAGATGGAAGAGAAGAAAAAACAAAAAACAAAACAAAAGACCATCCACTGATCTCAGTTGCAGCTAGGATCGGTGGCACCAAACAAAAGCACGATCGGGAAATCACTCACACAAAATGATGAGAAGCACCCTCAAGCAGAGGGAAGGACTATAGCCGCCTACCGACACACTGATTTATTTATTATTATTCATCACTAAGCTTTTTAGAACATGCGTTAATGACTAAAGCTTACAAATCGAAATGATGTGCTTTCTAATCTAACCCAAACAATTTCTGACCTACTGATGGGAGCCTTGGTGTTTCCAGTTTCCCATCCCCAAACCACTCTGACATTTCTTCATCGTCGGTGGAATCAGAAAGCTCCAATCGTTTTGGAATATTGACACTGGATTCGTTATTGTTTGCCTTATTCGTCAAGGCGCCTTTGCTCCTCTCTAACATCTTCAACTTCCACAAGTCCCTTTTTTTCGGATTCTGAGACAACTCGGTCCTACCTCCTGCGACGGGAAAATCTACCAACCCGGAAGCCTCATTCCATGAGTTCGAGCCATTGCAGTCGTCTTCTTCTTCGTTTACAAATCTCCACTTATCCGCACCTCTAGTTCGACTTCGTCCATATTGACTCGTCTCAGTAGTGTGAGGAGAACTCAAACTCTTAGTCCTAGGGTAGCTTCCGTTGTCGTGTACAGGTTCAGCAGAAGCCTCTGAAGAATGTGCTGCCTTAGGCCTTTTATGATCGCATTTTAAGCACACCATGTTTCTCTTAAAGTTGATATAATTGCAACTGCACAAAAACAAATCTCTAATCATATACAGGACAATTAGAATTTAGATATATGGAACCACTTCAAAGTGAAGCATTGATTTCCAAAACAAAAACGAATGAATGCCAATTGCATTCAGTAGAGAAACTCACGAGTCACACTCCCACTCCCCGGGATTTATCTGCCGCTTTGGAGGCTTCTCTTTGCATTGTAAGCATCTACCGTTCTTCGCAAAATTTAAGAAATTGCATCTGTAAAGGAAACTAAATGTCTTAATCTCAACAAGAAAAGGAATTACAGAAGAAAGTTAAGATGTTAGCAGCCATTACTTGTCACATATCCAGTCCCCCTTCTTCAACGGGAGATGATCTTGATCCTCTCTTAGACGTGTCAGTCTTTCTTGGGAAAAATCATCACAACGTAGGCACTTGATATTTCTAGCAAAGTTTAGGAAGTTGCATCTGCCAAAAGAAATATTAATAAGGATTAAACAACCAATCAAGATTCAATAATCGTAAACAATTACGTGATCAAGCTGCCAAATTACTTGGGGCAAAGCCAGTCGCCTGGCTTCATTGGAACATTTATTTGGCCCTTTTCTTGTGGAATTGAATGGTCCGACACCGAAGCAACCCTCTTTATGGCTGTACTTGTACTCTTTGGGGGATTGGAGTCGATGTTCTGAGTGCTGTCCACTACCATCTGTTTCAGTAGCCGTCTCACTGATTCTTTGACCATTTTGTTTAGACATGGCTTGTTCTCCACTGTACCAGTAGCGGGATCAAGCCCATACGTTAACAAGAAACGCATGACATCCACTGTGCGCCCACCTTCATCTTCCCGTGCCTTCACGTACGCTCGCTCACAGTCTCCTCTCAAATTGCAGGAGCTGCAAACCTACTAAAATGCCTGTTCTTATTAGATATGACAATTCCTAGTTATATATCAAGCTTTCTTCCTATTAAATCAAAAGAAGACTGAAAATATAGGCTCATTCAAATAAGAGGAAAATACTCAGAAACTAAGCACATACATCTCCTTCATCAACACCCACATAAGCCCTGAGACGCTTTCCTGAGTTGACGACTTTCCTATCGAGGCTCGGGCATCCACATCGGGCAATGATCCGGATATCTTTCCTTGACAACATTCTGGCAACAAAGGGTAATGAACAAAGGTATAGAATACAAATATCATATTTCAAATCCAAGTCAGTAAATAACATCTCGCCTTCAAAAACAAGACAATCATCCATTCATCCTTATCATGCACACACTTGAAATGAAAACTGCAAGCTTAAAAGTTAATAGAAATGGCGAGCCAAAACGATCTGAGTCATTACGAACTCCACCTACAAATTCCGCTGCCAAATCTAAACATGCCGTGCCTCGCATCCCACAAAGTTCCAATATCAAACAGGTTGCATCACAAAAACTCAAAAAACGTTTCTGGGTCGTAAAAGCACTTTCTGGATAAGCAGTAAGCACTTGGGTGCTTATGAGCACAAGTGCTTTTTGCATGAACAGTCCCAACAAGCCCCAAATACGCAGACAGGAAAACATTTCATCGCAAACTTTGTACTCAATGTAAATCGTTTTTCAATCCAAAATAATTAAATTCACAACCTCAAACTTGAAAAGAATAAGACTTTCAAATTCATCCCTTCATACCAAAACATCACCATTACCTTAAAAGACTAGACCGGTCCCGAGCAAAATTCAGACAAGCGGTTCGAATACGGTTCGAATCCTTCGGACCCACTTCACCGTTCCGAAAAGGGTTCTCGTCGCCATCAAAGTATCCTCTTTTCAACAAGCACTCCATCAGCTCCACCCACTCCCGCCACGGATGCGAAATCTGAACCGCACAACATTCCCCACTGGCCGGGCCGCCCTGCTCGGGGGGTTCACCAACGTCCGGCGCCAATTGGGTGATTATGTTTGTGGGTTTTGAGTCTCTCGACGATTGAATCTCTATAACTTCGTTGACTATGAAGTCGAGCTTTGCATTGGGAGCTAGGGTTTCTCTGAGGCTGTGAAATTGGGAAATAGGGGCTAAAAATTTTGGTGCTTTGAGGTGGGTTCTGAGGAGAGGATAGAGAGAACCATGGCCGGCTTTGAGAAGCTTGTACATTTGACAAATATTTGGTTTAGGGTTTTCTGATTTTGGCGGAAAAGGACGGGGTAACCGTTACATTTGTTTGAAGTTATGAACCCTGATTCAGGGTTTACATTGCGCAACAGAAAGGCGTATAAAGATGGTGATGAATTGCTTTTGAGAACTTTTGAAAAATAGCCAATTCAAAGGCACGAATTGAATTTTAGCCTAATCTTCTAACTTCTTAAAACATCTATAAGAGATGTCAAATTTTAAACATCAAAATGATAGTTGATAGCTTATGTGGTAATTTGACATTTTGTACAATATTTTACTCTACCCGATATGTCAAATAATAATATCATTCTAACAAAAAAACAAACTTAGATAAAAAGTCTTAATTATCCTTAGTAATACTAATCGTCACCGTGTCATCTTTCCCTCTTATTTTTTTCACAAGAAGCGCCGGTCCTAGCCTGCAACCCCTTTCTCATCCTTGGGACCAAGTCCCGCAGCGAACCTGAAGAACATGAGTTTTGGCACCTCGTGTTCAAGACAGAATAACCAAATCTTGAATTTTTTTATTGTTGCTTCTCTTCTAGTTTTTGTTTGACAATTTTCACAAACCCAACAACAACAGCAATGATGAAACATTTTTGGCATCAATTTCCTTTGTTTTGGCAAAAATCTCAATTCTCAACCCAAAAACAATGGTAAATCATTGATACTTTCCCGAATAGTTTTATCTGTGGGTGTTTCTTGTACTTTACAAGGTATGTTCTTCCAAACCCACCTTTTACTTACAAGAATATGTTATTATTTTTTGTTCAGTTTGTTGGTTTTGCACTTATAAGGTGTTTGACTGCTGAGAAAATGGTGGGCAAAGTCAAGTCATAAGAAGCTTTCTTGTTTTCCCTGGTTTTAAAATGTTCTTCTTTTAGGATAAATGAAATTTGAGAAATTTGATTGTAGTGGGATTAAAGTGAGCACAAGTATTGAACTTTGCATTCTACATTCAATTTGAATTGAGATTTGCTAGGACCAGTGCTTGCTGCCCGACTATTGCACCAACTGTAGCAGCTCAAGCTTGTGCGAAAGGAGAGGAGAAGATTAGTATTACTAAAGGGTAATTAAGACTTTTTACATGAGTTTTTGGTTAGAATTATAGAAATTAGAAAATTTGGCTACAATTCAATTCGTGCCTCTAAAATTGGTTATTTTTCAAAATTTCCCATTTCTTTTAGGATAATTTGCAGCAACGTCCTTGTAATTTTTTTTTTAATTTCACTATCATCCTTGCGGACTGTTAATTTTCAGTTTTGTCCATGTAGTTTTTTTGTTTTTTGTCTTAATTTTTATGCACACTGATATTTGAGAAAATTTTGGACTAAGTGACATAATATATCAGCTATAATTTGGTATTTATTATGCGAGTCAAATTTAAGATTTGAGACCTCTCACTAACTAATTTAAAGTTGAACACTTAATCGATTGAAGTCATTGGATAACAAATGATAAAAACGAAATCAATCTACGAACGACGAACTGAAAACTCAAATAAACTACAATCCAAAGTATAGTCCAGAAAATTAACATAAGAATATTAAAACTGTGCTAGAAAATGTAAAACAATGAAATTTTGTTCATTCTATAAAAGTCTGTGTTCCTTGTTTAATGGTTTTCTACAATTGGGATTTTCTAGGGTCTATTTCAGGTATTTTAACTGTTAGATATTTGTTTAATGATAAAAAAATCAAGATCTAACGGTTAAAAAGTCCGGAGCACAGAGCACCATAGAAACTTTGTTGCTGCAAATGTCGCAGTTCAAATGGAAAAGTTGTTGCATTGTCCGCGACAGTTTGGATTGATACAAACTGGGGTGTGAATGAAAGGAAAACCACCAACACTGTCGGATTGGATTGAACTCTATTGTCCATGGCTGTTTCTTTGCTCTGGTGCATACGAAAGGTCATAAACTGGTTGTTGAATGAAAACCAGTACTGGTACTGTTTAGTTGGACTGAACCCGTAGACCATTGAAGGTTTTTGACCTTAACAACATGATCCGTATTCTCAATGATTTCTACGTCGTCGTCACTGTCGTCAGCATGTGTTGTCAAGGGTGAACTTCTAGATTGCCGAGGAAAATCTCGATGACTTTTCACCAAACAAGCCTGCATTCAGAAAAGTTTATCAATCAAAGGAGCAGCCATTTATTGGATAAGATCGTTTGTTTTTGCGATTAAGGACGAATTATCGATATTGTATTAATAAAGTCTTTACATGTCAATAATTCATTATACTGACATTAGGGTTAATTTAGCGGTGATGGTTGGTGTACGTAAGATGATGAATATGAGTACGCTAGGTCAAAAATAAATAACTAAATAAATAAAGGAACTGACATGTTATTCATAACAACGATATCAGTGTCCTACACAGATAACTACGTTCTGAGCATTGAAAAATTGATGAAGAAGAATGATGTACAAACCGTTGACAAACGCATTGGGGCAGCGGCGCAGGCGAGTTCTAGTTGTTTCCGCAAAACTTTCTCGTCAAAATTAGGGTTTTCCACATGAACATTAGTTGTAGGAGCAGCACTTATCTGATTATCATGTGGTGACAATTCTGCCAACACATTCTCTAAATCCAGAGTTGATTGACTCTTGGGCAAATTGTTGACCTCTTGAGGAGGAGGAGGATGATGAGATTGACCAAAGAATGGTTCAAGCTGCTCATTCTCTGACACGAGAGAATTTTCGGCGTACCACCACGGGGTGTTACTACTGCAATCCATAATTATTTTTCTTTTGGTGTAATCTTTGAATTGTAAGAAGGAAATTGACGAAAACAATTGTGCCAAATATATAGAATTGGTGTAGTTAGGGTTTCCTTAATATAATGTTTTAGGGATTAATTAAGCAGAAAGACATAATCTATTTGGTTTAGGAAGCAGTTGTATATATCTACTAATTAAATTCCGAATCCTTGATTGGATACGAAGCTGAGATATTTGTATTACATACCAAAGCCTACTCAAACTTTTACCAAAATTAAGCAATTTCATGGCAACTGGTGTACTAAAGTACCACATACGTACCTACCGCAGTTAGGATTGCCACCTAAAATTTCTTTCACGTGATTTTTTTTAACGACGGCAATCCTAACGGTCTCTGTAGTAGGTAATATTTTGTCAAACTTTAAATTAGTTGGTAAAATATCGCAAAATTAAGTACATGTTGCAAAACGAACACTACTGAATTGAATGCATTGAATTCATAAAACTATTAATTCACATATATGCATGTACATGTACATATATCCTGCAAATTTTCTTCTCTGGTCCTTATTTTTCAACACATCAACTTTCTCTCTCTCATCAGAAGATGGAGAATAGCAACTTAGAGACGGGCGACAATTAAACACTAAAATAAATTATGATAAATAAAAACTAAAAAACTAATTCCCTTTTTACACTTTGGTCTGTTTTGGAAGTTTCCCCTAGAACAGTCCAATTTTCTGGCTGGACGGAAACTTCTTCAAAGCAATTTCTATGTACAATGCGAGGGAATCTTGATTTGCTAATTAATTGAGAGAACAAGCCAGTACATTCTCCTCCCCTTGTTTTTGTTCCGAGGTCAGCCGTTCAACCAAAATGTCCAACGCTTCCTTCATCCACCAATGTTGGCATGCCTCTCTCGCCTTCGCTGCAGTCATCTATATAAAATATTTGGATCACATATGATTTATTGTTAAATCGAAGAATCATTGTCTAATAATACAAAAATAAAAATAAAAAAAAATAAAAATGTCTGCATATAGATCAAATTGTAATTTGCATCCACAATCATACCCATATTCTTTGTCGTACATTCTTCTCAGGCCAAAGATCTAGTTGCTCCTTGACAAACAAGGGAAACATGTACCCTTCATAATATGTCTCTTGGCTTTTGCTCATGAAACACCATTTGCCCAATTGACACTACCATCGTATATTACAACATAAAATTAGGACAAAATTTTTGCCAAAATGGAACTTAATTGCACGGTAGAACATTAATCCCAACATCAACGACAATAATTCGACTCTCGCCTGCCCTCTTTAGCTCCTCAATCAAAAGCGAAATGGGAAGGAAGAAAAAGGAAGATACCAACCTCAACATTGCCTAAAACACCTGCTTCTTCTAGTGACTCTCTTGAAGCAGCTTCTTCTACGGATTCATCAAGTTCCCAACCCCCCTAAGTAATAAACAAATATATAGTTGAATTTGATGGATATATAGAGGGTAGAAAGCAATCCGATACCTCAAGAAATAAAATTAGAAATGAAAGGAAATTATATAATTTATACCTTAGGGAACATAAATGCATTGCCTTTCTGTGAAGTGATCACAAGAACTTCCAATTCGTTGCTAACGACACCATCACTGCCATCTTTGTATCTATAAGGTATGCATCTGCAACATTGAATATTAAGCAAATTAAACAAACTATTAATCATGATTACCTTTACAAAAATCTAAAATAAGGGAAGTCAATTGTCGGAACAATAAAAAAATCATAACCCAAATGGAACTTAAATGGGGACAACACATATGGATTTGTTCGACATGGATCTATGAGTCCATCCCATGGTGACGAGAGATTCTCATGTACATGAGATGTACAACCAGGTATACGTAAGAATTTTTTCTCTCTGCCATGAAAGAAAAGGAACATGAATGGAAGCAGCCAACCACTACTTTTTCAACATAACAAAACCATGTCAACAAAAGCTCAACAACAACAAAAACAAGAAGGAAAAGAGCTTCACCCTACGACTTGCCGGCGGCCCATGTTGTACCTCTGCAATTCCCTTCCCGTCCGAGAAACTAAACAAGTCATCATTTTCAAATCAAGGCTTGCAATTCTGATCAACCAAACTAATTGAATGCAGAAAAAGCCTAGAAACAAAGGGGTAAAGGGGTTGTTTGGAAATATAAATTGGCTAGGGTTTGTTGTGTTATTATATCCCAATTCCAAAAAAGTTGATCGAGTTATATACTTATTGGAGGTTAAGACAGAAATGCAATTGTGCAATGTAAGTTCAGGTTTTGAGGCAGAGAGAAAAAGGAAGGGCTGGCAAAACACATCACTCGCTAATCGCTATATATAGAAAAATGGTTTTGAAGGGCACCGTTTCAAAATAACAAAACACGCCTCTCTCTCTCTCCCTCTCTCCATACTAATATATTACTATATTGCGTAGGTCTTCTATGTATCTCCTCTAGTTTATCATATGAACGTTAGAATGTATTTCCTGTAATGTATCCATATGAACGTTAAAAACATTTTTCGTGTGTCGGGAATTCTTTTTATGTAGATGTGAATACGATATCTTTTTACGTGTTACATAGTATGAATAGACGACATAATTAATATATCTCATTTTTAACTTATATTTAAAAAATAATTATACATTTTAGAATTTAAGTGAAATAATAATATTATGTGACAATTATTCATTGAAAAATAATAATTCTTGTGTCGCGGGTGCGTACGAGCATTGTCCCGCTGAAAAACTGTCTCGAAATATAGAAAATGAAAGAGAGAGTCCAAGCTAGTGTCGTGGGTGCGTACGACATTCACATCGCCTTATAAGACGCATCTGTTTGAGAGTTTCCATGTCGTTTCCCAACAACTAGCCTTTCTCTTGTTATTAGTTGGAGTCCACGCGGCGAGAATTCACTGGGCGGCTGGAAGTTGACTGTTCAGAACGAGAAGAGATCTTATTAAAATTTGATCCAACAACCCACTTGATTTAATTTCTTAAAAGTTATAATAATTTTTTGTTGTTTGATGAAATTTCAAATATTCAACTCAGTTAATCTAATGATCTTAGTGAAAAAGATCCGAAAATAATCTCTTCTCTTTTCGAACATCCTCACGTGGACGAATCATGGTCATGCCGATTACTTCTTACTTTTTTTATTTTTTTCCCTTTCTAAGTTATTCAAGGTTTTTGCATTTTTTATTAGGCACGTGCATCCATCTCTAGTGACGAGTATGCTTATCTAGCTCATCACTTTATTTTTTACGTTATCAATATATCTATTTGATGGATCTTTTATTACGGTGGTAGAGAAGATTGTTGCATTTACACGACATCATGAGTTTAAATTTCGTCGGTTTTCTAATCTAATATATCTATCATTGACAAAATAAATAATAATATATCTATTTGATTGATTTGGCATAAAAAGAGTTGCGAAGAAAATGGATTTTTAGTTAAAATGATCTTTAAAATTGTCATTAACTCTTTTGAATGGTTATTGAGATTTAAAATTGATTGAAGTGATACTAAGATTGTCCATTGTCAATCATTTTTTCTGTGAAAACTCTCTGTTACATTGAAGAAACCACTAGTCAAGTGAATTGGTTGATTGAAAAAAAATACCCTAAATTTAACGGAGATTTTCACGGAATGACCAAAACGATTGATGATGGACAATCTTATGGACCACTTCTATTGATTTTAAATCTTAAGGACCAAATGAGGAGTAATGTCAATTTTAAAGACAATTTTAGCTAAAAAAAGGAAGAAAACTTACCTGAAATCAGTTTGCTTCATACTTCTTTAGATATAAGAGAAACATGTTTCGTTTTAGTTTCGTTCGTAGTCAAAATATACAAGTCTAATTCACAAGTCGATTAAAAAAAAGACGAATTCTTTGAAAAATCCAATGCAAGTGAAGAAAATAAGCAACAATTATGTTATTGTTCCCGCTATGTTCTGCGTATCTGGTAGAATAGTGTGCACATGCAAAGTACGTATCTAAAAAGTGGTGGAAATTGCAGGAAATGGGAGTAGGTTGAGCTGTAGAGAAATAGTAAAAATTGATAATGGATATCACAGTAATCAGACACATTTTGCTGCTTTTATTCCACTTTGATTACGACACAATGCACGCCGTACAATGAATGTCACGACGAAAAAAGAAGAGATTTTGTAGAAATTTTTTTTTTGGTATGTGCTTATAAATAATTTGAATACTTTTTGTATTATTAATTAGTTTTATGGTAAAATTTTAATTTTTTTGGTGGTATTTGAATCGCCGTTGATATTACGATCTAATGATATACATCTCCATTATAACTGTGACATCCCACAACGTCCAGGGGGTGATCCTTAAATGTATATTCTCATCCCTACCTAGCACGAGGCCTTTTGGGAGCTCATTGGCTTCGGGTTCCATCGGAACTCCGAAGTTAAGCGAGTAAGGGGTCTAGAGCAATCCCATGATGGGTGACTCACTGGGAAGTTGCTCAGTTCCATCGGAACTCCGAAGTTAAGCGAGTAGCGCGCGAGAGCACTCTCAGGATGGGTGACTCATTGGGAAGTTCTCGTGTGAGTTACCAGAAACAAAACCGTGAGGGCGTGGTCAGGGCTCAAAGCGGATAATATCGTGCTACGGTGGTGGAGCGGGGCCGGGAAGTGATCTGCCCCAGGCGGGGATGTGACAATTTGGTATCAGAGCCTAACCCTGGCCGCATGTGTGCCGACGAGAACGTCGGGCCCCTAAGGGGGGTGGATTGTGACATCCCACATTGCCTAGGGGGTGATCCTTAAGTGTATATTCATTTCCCTACATAGCACGATGCCTTTTGGGAGCTCACTGGCTTCGGGTTCCATCGGAACTCTGAAGTTAAGCGAGTAGCGCGCGAGAGCACTCCCAGGATGGGTGACCCATTAGGAAGTTCTCGTCTGAGTTCCCAGAAACAAAACCGTGAGGACGTGGTCGGGGCCCAAAGCGGACAATATCGTGTTACGGTGGTGGAGCGGGTCTGGAAAGTGATCCTCCCCGGACGAGAATGTGACAATAACTAAGAGGTTTCATATACAACAAGTTCGATATTCAATTATGAGTGATCTAATATGCATTTAATTTAAATGAAAACTAATGAAAATGGCTTGAAAACTTTGAGTTTTAAAGATAATGACAAAATAAAGGGTAAAGTAAATAATATCATGATTGACTTTTTAGTATAAAAATGTGACTTTTCGTTAAAATGAACAGTACCTAAAATTTTTCGTTAAAGCTCTTTTAATTTAAATATTCAATTGTCATCATCGCGTCGAATAAAACAAAAAGAATAAACGGCCCAAGACGAAAAAGACATGACAAATTAATCTTATAAATAGAAAAGTATATCCATAATTAAAATCCAAAACACGTCGCCTTCCAAGAGAGATGAACGAGTTATAGGTTTGAACTGGTCGGACTCACATGCAGTGGAAAAATAGTTGCATATCCGCCCACTCCCAAAGAATTATATGGTCCCTATTTCGTCCCCTTCTATTATTTAGTCTTCAAATACATAAAGTTAAGCCTCACATAAAGCATACATAGAATGACTACATACATACATACATACATACATACATATATATATATATATATATATATATATATATATATATATAGACAGAGGGAGAGTGAGAGAGAGAGGATGGGGCACTTGGGGTGGAGGCTAAAGTTATCTTAGCGTTTTTTTTTTTTTTTTTTTTTGTGACTTTGGATACAGTCCTTATTTATTAACGTTATTTGATTGAAATCTTGTTGGTTTTTAGATTTTGATTGACATCCTTGAAATTAAAACAATAGTGTATTTCTATGTAGGTTATTATAATTTGAATTAAAATATGATATTTGTAGTTATTTATATTAATGAGATTTTAAATAAAATTCATAATTTGTGGGATTGAAAATATTAAAAAATAAATTATACTTATTAAAAAAAATAATAATTTATCCTAATGACATGATTTGTCATTAAGATAAATTACATTTAAATAAAACTCATGTTTTGTCATTACTTATATTAATGACATTTTATGTACACAAAATTGGTAATTTTTAGACGGTACATTTTACATTCAAAAAGTTGATACATTTCATACAAAAATGTGGTACATTTTATATGAAAAAATCGGTACATTATATATATATAAAATAAAATAAAAACAATGGGTACATTTTAGATTAAAATAAGTAGGTGTTACATTAAAAAATAGGTACATTGTACATAAAAAAAAAGGTACTTACAAAAACAAAAATTGGTACATTTTACATAAAACAAAATGGTACATTTTTAAAGACAAATGGGTACATTATTAATATATTATTGGTACAAATAAAAGGTTAAAAAAAATGAGTACAAATAAAAGTTTGAAAAAATGGACACAAAAAGAAATTAATATATCGGTACAAACTAAAATTGAAAAGAAAATTGGTACAATTTTGTTGACCCTAAAAACTACCAAGCCTACGTGGCATGCAGGCCGAGTAATCAATAAGCTAACTACGTCATTCGGTTGTGTGCGGAGCGTGCCAGCTCGTCGGCCGAGCTTGGCCGTGGAGTAAAATGTATTGATGCCGTGTTGAGTGCGCTTCTGATTTCTTGATCTTGTGACTGCGGCCAAGAAAGGAACACGTCTCAGCCTTCGGGTTCTAGAGCCTGAAGATAAGGCTACTAGTCTTGTGACATTCATGGATAGTTGACACCGAGTTCGGTTACAATGATTATATTCGTAAGAGTATAAACACGCCAAACTGATACCAAACTATATAGACACAAGTACTCAAAAGAGATGTACATCTTGATTGTAAATGTGGTTCGGCCGTCGGAATGCCGAACTCTAAAATATACTTGTGAATATCCAATCATAAAACAACTTGGCGTTTAATGTGCCGAGCCCAATAACTTGTAACAACTCACTTTGCCGAGAAGGCTGATAAGATGACCTTGACCAACAAGGACTCGAAAATCCTCATCAACCGAGACTTAGATAAGTAATCAGTTAGCCGAGAAGCAGTGTTGTTTATCCAAACTAAATGTGCTCCTTGATCGGTTAATTATACGGCTCCAATATTGTTTATCCAAACTGAAGATGTGTTGGCAGGAAAAAGAAAATAAAAATCTCAAGGCTGTTGAGAGATTTTGCGTATAGCAAGAGTTTGCGTAGGGTAGTTTGTGTGTTGAATTGGAGAGGTTTTTCAATGATGCACTTCCTCCTCTACTTATAGCAGTGAACCTACTCGTGGCCAAACTAGAGACGTACTCAAACTGGAACTTCTTATCCCAATCTGATTATGATTCGGCTAGTCCTAATTCCAATGGGTTTCTGAACTAAC